AACCTTTGTCTTGAACCTTTGTCTTGAACCTTTGGCTCGGGTTCGGTTTGGAAATGAACAAACGCTGCAGGGGCGGCTGCCCAGAGCATTCTGAGAGATCCCACAGAGCCCAAATCCTACAGAGCCCAAATCCCAAAGAGCCCAAATCCTACAGAGCCCAAATCCCACAGAGCCCAAATCCCAATGAGCCCAAATCCTACAGAGCCCAAATCCCACAGAGCCCAAATCCCAAAGAGCCCAAATCCTACAGAGCCCAAATCCCACAGAGCCCAAATCCCAAAAAGCCCAAATCCCACAGAGCCCAAATCCCACAGAGCCCAAATCCCAAAGAGCCCAAATTCTAGAGAGCCCAAATTCCACAGAGCCCAGATCCCACAGAGCCTCCTAAGAAATTCCACAGAGCCCAAATTCCAACGAGCCCAAATCCCAGAGAGCCCAAATCCCACAGATCCCTCCTGCCAAACCCCACAGGTTCCCCAATCCCAAACCCCACAGGTGCCCCATCCCAGGGGCGCTCACACCTCAGGCCAATCCCAAACCCCCTTGGGCCAACCCCAAACCCCTCGGGCCAACCCCAAACCCCTCGGGCCAATCCCAAACCCCTCGGGCCAACCCCAAACCCCCTGGGCCAACCCCAAACCCCTCGGGCCAACCCCAAACCCCTCGGGCCAATCCCATTGTCCATTGGGGCTCCAATCCCTGCCCCACAGCTCTTCGCTGCAGCCGGGGCAGCTCCCAGAATTAGGATTTCATTGGGGTTTGGAGTCTCTGCTCTCCCCATCCCGGTGCTGTTCCCGGTGCTGCTCCCGGTGCTGTTCCCGGTGCTGTTCCCGGTGCTCCCGGGCCGGGCTCAGGCGCGGGGGGGCGGCGGGGCCGCCTGCACCTCGGGCCCTTTGTGGGATCCATCGCAGTACGGGGGGGTCCGGGTGCGTTTGCAGCCGCAGAGCAGCGCGGGGCCGGCCCGGGCCGGGCTGAAGCGCAGCGGGGCCAAGCCCGGAGCCTCCTTCTTGTGGGCACCGTCACAGAAAGGCTGCACAGCAACGGCGACGGGATCAAGGAGGGGTTCGGGGGTGCCCGGCTGCTCCCCCGGAGCCACCATGACCCCTCCATCCCGTCCCATCCATCCCATGGGTCCCATTATCCCATTATCCCATCCCATCCCATTATCCCATCCCATTGTCCCATCCCATCCCTCGGGAATTCGAGCGCCCCTGAGGGCACAACCCCAAAACCACCCCAAAACCTCCCGGCTCCGGGACTGGGGGGGTTCCTGTGGGGCCGGTCCTGCCCTGGCCCCATCGGCTCCCGCGCACATCCCAATTTGGGGGGTGCCGGGTCCCCCGGAGCCCCCGGGACCCCCCAAACCACCCCCCCAGGTCACGGAGCCCCCCAGAGCCACCGCAGGGTCCCCAGCCCAGGAACCTCTGGAATCCCCCTGGATCCCCGGTTCTCCCAGACCCCCAAACCCCTCGGTTCCCCCAGTTCCCCCGGTCCCCCTGGACCCCCGGTACCCCCAGACACCCGGTTCTCCCTGTTCCCCGGTTCTCCCCCGGTTCTCCCCCGGTTCTCCTGGATGCCCGGTTCCCCTGGCCCCCCCCTGGTTCTCCCTGTCCCCCGGTTCTCCCTGCTCTCCCCGGTTCCCCCCCGGTCCCTCCGGTTCTCCCGGCCCTCCCCGGTTCCCCCCGGCCGGACCTGGCGCTTGCTGTGTCCGCACGAGCACCAGCCGTAGCTCTTCCCCGCCTGCAGCTCCACCGGGAACGGCTCCTTGGCGGCGATCACCGGCTGCGGGGGGGGCGCGGGTCCCGTCGCTCTGCTCCGCGTCCCCCCCGAGGGGTCCCGGTACCGGCGGCCGCCCCCGAGCCGGACCCGCGCCGCGAGCCGCAGCATGGTGCCGGTGCCGGTCCTGGTGTCGGTTCCGGTGTCACCCCCGGTGCTATAACCGGTGCCGCTCGGTGCCGTTCCCGGTGCCGTTCCCGGTGCCGCTCGGTGCCGTTGCCGGTGTCGGTTCCGGTGCCGTTCCCGGTGACCTTCCCGGCGCGGCTCCTCCTCCCGGCGCCGCCGGAAGAGCCGGGGCGG